CCTGCCGTGAACACTGTAATGGCGGCGACACACACTGAGACTGATTCACCACTGCTGCTGTCATTCCCCTCTCTCCAAATTCTTTCCCTCTTTATTATTTCCTCCCAGTGTAGAGGAGTTCTGCCGAGTGTGTCTCAGGGCTAAAAAGATTGTCACTTCAGGCTGAACAATTAAGTTGTGTTACATTCAGTCCACACCCCGCCGCATTTCTGGCTCTCAGCTGCATTCTGGTCACATCTGTCTGTGGGGAAGCCTCAGATTTCCCCTCCCCACCTGTACCACCCACTCAGTCAGTCCTCTTACTCCACATCTAACTCTCCTCCCCTCCCATTCTTCCTTTAAAAGCATAGGACTGGAAAACGGGTGAAGATTTTGCTCCAATTAAGTTGTCCCACACGATTTTATTAATCATCAGGGAGGAAGTCGCAGCATAACTTTTCTCAGCAGGACTTTGATTTCAAGTCTAAAAAGTCAGGCTATGCCTGCATTTTGTGACTTTAAATCAATAAATATATTAATACTTTTTTGCAAATCAGTAGCTTTACTTTAAATCTATTTAATCATAAGTACTGCAGTTTATTTTGTTTATAAAATGCATTTCTGTGAGTGAATTCGAACTTTTGAGAACTGGTGTTGCAAAAGCATTTTGTTGTTTCTTTATTCTGAGTGGACCACTGTAGAGAATGGTTCGAGATCTATTCAGCACATTGATGCAGGAGTTCGATGGAGTTGTTCAGCAGTCCAGAACATCAATACATGTCTGGGCTTTGTGCCATTTTGCCATTAATCAACTCCAGAAAGAATGATACACCAGTGAGAGAGTTTCTCCGCTGCAGGGTCGGAGTGCAACACAGCAAAATGGCAATAATGTTCCATTCTTTCCATGTAAAGATACAGATTCACCGCTCAGAGTTCCTGGTTGTTTTTGTAACAGTTGGTCCTTGATTTCAGATGGATAAAGCTGGCTTCTTATTTCTAACCAGTGATTTTCTGGTTGAACTGACTTCATGAACTGGAGCTGCCTAACTAATTAAGCTAATGTGAACTCAATGAGTTGGCCTAAAACACTGGGTCCTATGGACTTTCCATGTTTTGAAATTTAAGAGGCATTACTGTAAATATACGCTTGATGGCTAGGTCCATGCTATTCTGCTAAGAACTGATCCAAAATGTCCCGTGCACAAACTAAAAAGTCACTTCATCATAACTTTCTCTCTATCATCTCATGCAGGCCTACTCATCTCTCAACATGAGTCGCACCCCTCGGACCAACTCCCTCTTCTGGCATGACTACGATGACAACTGCCTGTACGAGTGCCTAGATGGGAAGGACTGCAAGAGCTTCTTCTGCTGCTATGAGGAGTGCAAAGAAGGCGGCTGGAAGCAGGGACGGATCCATGTCAACATCCGCGAGCTGGATTCTTACTCCCGGGTTTTCTTCCCCACCTCCTTCTTGCTCTTCAACATTGTCTACTGGGTCAGCTACCTCTATCTCTAGTCGGCACCATTGTGCATCATGGCTCGTGATATGAGGTCAAAACTAAGCATGGAGCACAAAATGAGGTGGATCCACTCTGTTGGAATCGGAAAAGATATGCTGCTGTGCACCCTGGGAAGGCCACAATACCATGAGCAGCAGCAGTAGAACAAGTTGCCAGCATTAACATGTATGCATAGGTCCTGTACATGACTCTGAGAAACCAAGCAAACGGGCAGCAGTGACTTCACAGTTGTTTGGGGATGGAGTTGCACTGCTGAATCTTGGTCGTCGAGATGACGAAGCACCCATAGTGCCTTCTTTAGAAAGGGTGCAGCACAGAGAGAGACGCAGCTTCAGAGCCCCTGCTGTTATCTTTGTTGCTTCATCCAGCACGTCGCAACATGCCGAGTTGTTTATTCTTTGATTGAACAAACCCAGAACACAGTAGTCAGCGCTGGAATACTAACAGTCACCATTCGTTTTATAGCAATTTAGTTTTTGTTCTACCTTAGAAATCCTACTCCTTTTTAATAACAGTAATGTTTTCTTCTTCCTCTTATTAGAATTAGTTGTATTTTCTAGCCCACATCTGTTGTGCAGTGTTAAAGATGAGTTAGCACCAGGGCCAGTGGTTGTCTGGTTTGTTTATTTAAGTAAGTGAGCTTCTGCTCATGATGCTTTATGGCCAGGCCATGCAGTTTACAGCAGATGCCAAGAAGGTCTGGGTGTTTTAATGAATGCTGGATTATATTCTTACACGTCAGATATATCCATCCATCCATTATCTATACTGCTTATTCCTGAAAAAGGTCACAGGGCTTTGGAGCCAGTCCCAGCTGACACTGGGCGAGAGGCGGGGTTCACCCTGAACAGGTCGCCAGTCTATCACAGGCATATTAAGTACACATATTACTGTAAATGAATAAACAGATTAGAGCACTGCTAATTTTCTCCTAACAGCTATATGAACACAGTTTATTTTACACACTTCTGTTTATTTTAGTTTATGTTTTTATATAGGGCCTTAAAAGAAATATATAATGTACATTTTCAGACAATGGCTGTATCTTCTCATTTAACTCTTGGCAAGAAAGCAAGTGAACTATTCTTAATTTCTTTTTGGGTTTGTTGTGCTTTCGGGTACATAAAAAAAGAGAAGTCACTGGCATTGCTTTCAGTGGAGAGTTGTGGGTAAACAGAAATCATTGTTTTGGCATGAAAATAGCTCAATACTAATATGCAGGATATTGACACAAACTGAGCTACAGAAGCTTTAATGTTGGCCATGAGTCACTTGTGTCCTGAAGCACACACTTACATTAGAGTCTTGCCACCCAGGTTCAGAAGTCGAGTACATAAAACCTCCTGTGCCTGGCCGGCAGTGACCACAGGTACTGTACCATAGGGTTTATACACTCCATGCTATACACAGTGCGGCATTGTAAAATGGATGGCTCTTGACGGAACCCCACATCTCCTCCATAGACACGTAACACTGATGCCGGAACGTTTGGGGAGGCATTCGGACAAAGGAGTTCAGACATGGACGGACTTTGCCGCTTTAGGCAGTTTTGTTCAGTGTTCTTTGGTGTTTTTGCAGTTGTTTGGCTTTGTAGAACAATCAGACCCCTTTCCTCCTCCCTCAATGCACACACACTTTTCCCCCAGTATTTGTATGTTCAGAGAAAAGCTTTTCTGTACGATGTATCTAATTAATGTTTCTATTTTCATACAGTTATATATGGAATGTATATTAGGCCAGTAGCGAGTCCGGAGCCAGCCTGCTTCCACTTCAGTCAGTTCAAGCGGCATAAATGAGTTTATATTTAGGGGTCCAAAATATTCACAAAGGCCTCTAGACACATTTGTGTCTTGTTCAGAGATTTGTAATCACGAATCAGATTGGCTCAAGTGATGCTAGAAAACCAGCGGCAGGGCTGTGGTCCTGTGGCCCATGACTTTGTTGATTTAGTACATGAACTCATATGAGACAGTGAAACTTGATTAGTATTTGGACATCTATCTGTCTGGCTGTCTATGAACTGACTGAACTGAACAGAGCTTGGCCCACATCGCAGCAAAGCTCTCCTCACCTCTGATATTTCTACTACACTTTATAAGTGTCTTAGTCTGTTGGGATACTTCAATAAAACAAAATCACAATTTTCTACGCGTTACTGAGAATCACCTGTGTGTTTCAACTGACTGCGACTTGTGTTTGTTAAGCCTCTTTGGATGTAGAGTACTAGCCCAGGATCAGCACTGGTAAGCATAATGAAGTCCCTCTGCCAGAGACCTCATCACCCCCCATTAAAGTAGAGCGGTGCTTCATTCATGCCAAGGTGTCATGAAATCATGTATTATTGCTATTTCATCCTGCAAACCAATTTTGCTTTGATTGTCAGTGAGGTCCCTGGAGAGCGAGGCTGTACACGGAAAGCCACTCTGATCCTGGATCAGCACTCTGAAGGGAAATATTTTATTAAAATGGGATCTAGGGTGAAAATAGGTATGTTTTTTCTAGTGCGTGGTACATTGCTGATATTAATAAAAGATGTTTTGGTCAAGTGCTACTGTGAAGTGTTTTTGTGTGAAGCGTCCTCGTGTTGTCTACAGTAACACTGATTTATGCATTTTGTTCATACACAAATATTCTCACAGATTCTCTTAAATTTCTTGTATACAGAGCCCCCTAAGGGTCATGGCAGTGGGGTTTTTTTCTCATCTACTTTTGCATTCCCTCACAATACTTTTTGCACATTTCTGATAAGTTTTGCCCAGCGCAACACCACGGTGGCTATGGATCGGTTCCCAACGTGGCATTAACTATACTGATATAATATTACTGCTCAGTAATATTATATCTTCTTTTTTCTTTTGGGCATAATCTGATACTACTGTAGGCTATGTGTAATCTTATCACACAGGCCTACTCATCTATATAAGCTGTAAGATACAGGACTACAGACAAGTATGTGATAAGATTATACAAAACATATGTGCTATACTCCTGTAGGTTATGTGATAATATTTCAGCAGTATTGTAATATGTACAAAATTAAATGCATGAAATTTTCACCATCATGCATGAACATAGTGAAAACATGAAAGCAAGACTTGGAGTTCTGTATGTTTAGGCCTATCTGTGTATTCTGTTATCTGCCCATAGATGCAGCTCTTATGATAAGTGTGATCACAAACAAACAAGAATAATATCTGAAATGCTGCTGTATATGATAATGCTGCATATGCCGTTTGAGTTAGCACGTTACCTAATCTGAACACAAAAGCACCTGTAGCGCTTCTTTTTTGTATAATCACTAGTGATCATCATCAGTACTCAGTTTATGAAAAACCGATAAAGAATCTTTATCAGTGAGGCTGTCAAGAAGACAGTGAAGGCATGTGAGCAGATGAGATAATCAGTAGATGTAAGAACTACAGGGCAAAATGTTTTAAGTGTGAAAATGAGATCTTTAGCAGCTGCTTTTGTCCGTTTCACGTGCCCACGCATTAACACGCCATTAAATTCACCTGCGGTGCAGTCACGTGGGGGGCGGGCTTGTTGCCCATTCGTCACTAAGCGAGTGACGTCAGACCGCCATCAAATTAAATATGGCGGCACTTCTGACCTGTCATTCTCTTAGATGGACTATGTGCTCCTCCCGAGTCACAAGTTTGAACAACGCTGCCGGTTGTTTGCTGCGATAGTTTGTGGGGCAGGTTTAATGTTGTTTTGTGAGTCATTTATTCTTTCACGAAGTGTTTTCATTAATCATGTTTTAATATCGGTGTGGACGAGCTCCCAAAAGCAGCTGCTGCTTCACTTTGTCCCGTATAACTTTGGCTAGATGAAGTTAGCCAAGCCACCAGAGAGGTACTGTTGTCATTGTAGCTAAAAAAAATGTATTTAAACCCGTATACTTCAGGTTCCAATGACTTGTACTGTCTCCACGTTCAAATATCTTGAGCGTTACCTGTCCCAAGTTACGTGAAGTGTTCAGGTTGAACCTTTCTCCTGTGATGGATTATGAGCCTCAGCTTGTGCCTCACATGAGTCTACACCGGAGTCACAGACGACCCTTCCGCTGAGCTGCGGAATTGATCCATGGCGACAGTTATAAACTATTTTTAGTGAGTTTCTTGATAGTCTAATTTTTCGCTGGACTGATGCTTCTGCAGCGTCTGAGGATTTGAGAAGTGGCTTCAGAATCTAGACGAGTCCTGTCAAACAATGGTTCCGGTTAAAACGCTCAGCCGTGTGTCAGTTCCGTAGCTCAGCAGCCGATTCGTCTCTGTGACTCGGTGCATGTAATACGAGGGGCCCAAGCTGAGGCTCCCGGCTCCACTTGACTGTATTTTTAGTGGTATTAACTTCACTTTTTCACCACTGACTGAAATGTTTTTCGTGGACAGGCTGAGCCGTCAGTCAGTATATACACGACCTCCGGGCACCGCGCTCCTCTGTCCATGTGGACAATATTAATTGTGATGAAGTGTTGATGTCTGACAGCTTCAAAGAGTCAGTATTATGTCAAACAGGGCTTGGTGACGTATGTTAGCTGTGCTCTGTCCTCCTAAAATCTGTTCTGCCACTATGACCTCAGATGTTCAGATTTGGCTGAATTCGTCTCCGTGTGCTCTTCTTGCTCCTGGCAGCAGAAGCAACAGCAACTTTTTCTTTTTCTGTGGTACAGTGGGTCAGGTAACCTTAGCACTTTTTTTGGTTTAGGATGACTAATGTTGGGCCTTGTAAGAAAATTAAACGGGTGTCCTCTCTTGTGTCAACTTAACTGTTGAATTTGTTCTTTTGTCCATGTTTAGGCTTTGAGGTGAAGCAGAAAATGTGACCCTTGTGAGAGCTGTTTCCAGTCCATGGCTGTGGCAGAGGAAGACTTGTCGGGAAGGACTCCACAATCAGTGTGGAGTCTCAGTTTGGAGGAAGGGTCTGACTCATTTCAGGTAAAAGTCATAATGTTGACATGGGATGACTGTTTCACAGACATTTGTTTGTTTAATTTCCCCAGTCCTACAAACCTTGGAGCCTCCTGTGATGTATCTGTGGCTGTGTGAGCAACAAGTACAGTCTGAGTTTACCACACTTTTTTTTTGTCCACAGTCCAGAAGCTGCTTGGGTGATGTCCATGTGCTTGACAGACCAAGCCACCACACTTTGTCCAGGTAAGTTTCTTTTTAAATGGTTGTTTTTCTATTGTGTCCATAGTTTACAGTTGCATATAGTGAGAACTGATCATTATCAAGTAAAAATGAGTTGCATATAGAGTGAGGGCTTCTTCCAGCTCATTGACTTAAAACCTAACCCCAGTACAATAGTCAATGCAAACAAACCCCTTGAGTCCTGTCACTAAGCACAACACACAATGAACACAAGCTTCTTTCGCCACTCTTCCAAGGCAGCAGCCGTTTCTGCAAAGAAACAGCATGAATACAATAAAACAAAGTATATAAATTACTACCTATGTGAAAGTGGCCCTTCAAACACAAATTAAATTGACCTTGAGTGGCTGGTTACACACATCTCCACAAAAGACAAAGTACTCTACTACCAACTTACACATGAATAAACTGACAAGCCAATGAAACCTGTAATTCAATGCAACACTTCCACATCTGTTCATGAAGCTCAAAACGTCTGAAATTCTCAAATGTATAAATTCAACAATTACAGCCCTAATTGAAGGTGGTGGAGTAGCAGGTTGCAGGCGTGAGTATTAGAAACACTCCTGAATACCATGTAGTCCAGTACACCACCACCTTTAACTCAGACATAACTGACTTATACATTTGAGCTTCATAAACAGATGTAGAAGTGTTGCACTGACAGGTGTACCTAATAAAATGGCTGCAGAGTGTAGAACACATTTAAATAAAAGGTTTGTACGTCACCTGTTAAGGACTATGCTGTCGGCTCTCTGAAACAGGCTTCTCTCTGCAAGGTCATCTGTCTCTCACACAAATCAGTCATTAAGAGGCTTTACTGATGAACAGCTTCCACATAGACGTGGAGTGAAATGCTAAACTTGCCTCACTACTTTGTGCTCCTCTCACTCGTCATCAGGTGTATCCCTGAGGATGGGGCTCGCTGCCAGGCAACTCAAATACTGTGGACGTTCTGGATCAGCAAAGGAGATTCCTCTCCATGGCTGCTGATCGGGTGGCTACAGAAAAAGGGCTGGTTAAAACTGGGATTTCTAATACATTTGACATTTTTATATTAACTTACTGTTTCAATAAATATGTTTTTTTGTGATGAACCTCATTGTGCTTCTAGAAAGGCCTTAAAAATATATAGTGAAATTTAACCTGCTGTTCTGTTCAGGTTTTGTTTACACTGGTGGTGTTCGTGGGTGTCCTGCACCTGCATCATCTTTTGGCTTCGTAACTCAACGTAATCAAAGATATTTAATCTAAAACAATGAATTTTAATCTAAAACAATGTAATAATCAACTAATAATCACATGTTTACATTTGCCCTTTACCTTTGTTAAATTACATTACATAAGGGTTAAAACTATTATGCTCATTTTTTTGTTAGACGAAGCAACAAATTTACAAATAAAGCAAGATTTCTCACAACTGCTGACTTTTATTTGAACCTCAGTCATTTCAAACATTCAGGACAGTTTCCACAGCACAAGCTGAACACACACTAACCATTTTGGTCTACACAACACAGCCCCACTGAACACAGACAAACCTATACATCACATGATCTGTGGTTTTTGGCCACAGATTTTCCCATCCCTGTGCAGTGTACTCATCAGAACAACATTCTTGTCTTTCTTTGGCACATAGGACACCAGGGACGTGTCAGCCGTGTACACAAACTTGGAAGACTTCACAGCCCTGTCCTTTGTAATCAATAGTTGAGGTGGGAGCTCTGACTTGTTTTTGCGAATAGTTCCCACCATGGTCAGCTTCCTCTTCAGGAGCTCCTGTCCCAGCTTGTGCGAGGTAATTGTTGCACATGATATTGTGTCCACTGAGCTTCTGAGTCAGGTCCAGGACAACTCTCATCCCTTGATTTATCTCTGGGGCTCCTCCGTCAGGTTTTCCTGTGTAGACTTGTAAGTTCCAAACATACGAGGTTGTGGCATCACAGGCAGCCCAGATCTCTGTGCCATATTTTGCTGGTTTGGATGGCATATACTGCCTAAAGGGGCAGCGGCCCCAAAATGGCACCAGCTGCTCATCAACGATGACATGAGGCCCAGGGTTGTAAAACAGGGGGAGGCGGTGCACTGTCCTGATGGCAGCTAGCTTGTCTGCCTCTCCTTCCATCTCAGTGTGCAGTCATTGAAAATGTGTTCTGATATATGTTCTTCACACAAAATGAGCCAAGGCCATTGAGTCTGAGCTTGAAAAATTAATTACGCGTACGTTTTTTCTTTAGATAAAAAGTGAAACCGGGTGTAAAAAACCCGAACAGAACACAAACTATTTGTATTATAGTCTATGTGTTACCCATCATACACAGCTTTAAACATCACTACTCAAAAGTGTAAAGCCATACTGAAACCATAAGAATATTAATAACAAAAAACTAACTCAATAGAGAAAGTTGAACCTTTTTAGGAATTTTATTGAGATTTTAAAAGAGTAGTAATTAATTACTACAGGTAATTAATTTGGGTGTTACTAAATTACATGACACA